TACTTGGGTACTATAATCCTGTCCTGCGCCGATGGCTAGCCTCCGTTGAGGAAGGCCACCGTGGCCGAAATTCGGTCTGGAGGACATTATTATTATTATTATTATACTAAGTCCCTAAACCTTCAAATTGAAACAGTAGTGGATGCACTGCCGCTTGGTGATAGAAATACGTAAGAGGATGATACCAATGATACGATTCCCGGTCTGAAAAAAAATTTGTAGACTTTTTAGGTGACAAACGAGCACACAGTCCACCTGATGGTAAGTGGGTTCTGTGGCCTATGAATATCTATGTCTATCCTCGATTAAGGATCAAAATGCGGATGCGTTCTCCCTAAGAACTAAGATGAAATTACACGTTTCCAGTAAAAAGGGGTTTCCGGTTTTCTACACTCACCACACGAAACATAGCAGCATTAAGCTGCTATTTTACTCTAGTATTCTGGGAGAGAGTAGTCCTTTTCCGATGGAGGCGAACCATTAGTGGTATTATAGTTGTATTATTATAGTAGCTATAATATTGTAGCTACAGCATGGCTCTACCATGAGCTCTAGATTAGATACTTAAAGGTAAACAATGAAATACGACGTTATAGGAACACAAGATATTTATTCCATAAATGGAAATGCTTATAGTAACAAGATACCATAACTTATCATAACAGAAACAACAATAAGCACTGAGTGCCATCAACCTACTCCATCAGTACCAACTTATCTCTGACCTGTTCCATATTAGTTTATGTTATTCTCAATAAACAGTCAATCATGTTCAAGGATGATTCAATATCTTTGTATTTAATTTCCTTTTAACTTTATTACTCCACAATAAAATTTCCTATGGGGTGAGCCATGTTGACTTTCTACAATCGTTAAAGTTAATACGAAAATAAATGGATGAAATCAACGTTAAGTCACGAGACGGTCACGACTTACCGTCGAGATATTTAGTAGTTTATTATGGTTGTAGCACGAATGTGTCAGCTCGACCGGAGTAACACCACGCTCTTACAGAATACCAGCGTAAAATACCAGCTTAATGCTGCTGTGTTCCGTATGGAGAGTGTAGAGAACCGGAGACCCTTTTTATTGGAAACGAGGCATTTCATCTCAGTCCTCAGGAGTGACAACGTATCTGCATTTTGATTATCAATCAAGGATAAATATGGATGTCTATGGGCTAAATGATACACTTATCTTCAGGTGGACTGTGAGCTCGTTTGTCACCCTTCTTCTATAAAAAAATGTGTCATCCGCAATCATTTTTATAGTTTTCTATTAACATGAACGATTATAGAAAGTCAACTTGGCTAACCCTGCTGTTCAGTAGAGAAGATCTGATAGTATTTGGAAGACGTAGTGATTTAAATTGACCAGCAGAACAGCTGTATTTCATAACAGGTTTAGAAAGCTTACGTACTTGCTGTTTTGTAAAAATTTTGACGGACTTGTGGTATTCCTTGGCTCACTCACTCAATGTTCGGCAGTATATACCAGTTTATAGGTGGTAGAGCCAAGCTGCAGTTGTATTAGTAGTATAGTTGTAACACGAATGGGTCGGCTCGACCGGACCGGATCCTATAAAAAAAAACTTGAAGAGTAGACATGACGTTGATAATGATAGCAGACTTTATTCTGGTGTATTTAGCTGACATACTTGTAATTCAATTTTAATTTGTTTAGCATTTTCTGCAATTAATTAGTAAATCAGTAAAACATGGTAGCAATTTCCGCATTTTATAGATATGATATTGTTGCATGAATAAGTAAAATAGTGTAGGAGGGGGATAAATGGGGGGTTTTTAAATTATTAGTGTTTTAACTTTTTTTAAAGAAAGTGTATTGGTTTTTTCGTATACACAATATTTATGAATGATGAATATGAGTGTTTCTTATGTTTATTAATGCGATCGTATAATTACGGACCTAGTTTTTATGTTAATTGTATATATTTTTTCGTATTAATTAGAATTAATTGAAAATAAACACTACAATATTTAAAAATAATATAATTAAATGAAAAAATAATAATACACAACTATTTTTGTAACCCTAATGATTTCTAATATTTACGCGAACACATTTAAATAAAACAAGTTTTTACGGATTTTATCGCGTATTTTTTATTCCGGACGTTTCGAGCACTTTACTGCACCCATGGTCACGGGGCATTCGATGACTGAGGTGTTCGATGTCCCGATGTCACAGTTAACCTCGGTTACCCACAGATTAAAATTATTAATTTTTGTTCGGATCTACACAGTATGAACTTAAGTCTTGCCGTTGTGTGCTTGGGTTGGGATTTAATTTTATTAATTATAGGATCCAAAACAGATGGTAGCACCCAGCCATCTTCTCTATTGAAATTAGGATATTTTATGATTTCAATAGCCCTGCGAATCATCCTTGGAAAGAATCGGTGTTCTTTAGGATTTATGGTCTATCAAATCTGATTTAGTGACGGGAGCAATCCTATAGGTAGGTGGGTGTTCACAGACTGCAGACTTTCTATATTTTTATATTTTTCTACTTATTATAACTTTCCTTACACGAAATAATCGTGGGCTAGTTTAAGGCTTTATTTAGTATGAGCTCAAAGTCATAACCATTATCACATTACTAATATAAGCTATCAAATGTCCACCGCTGAATATGGGCACTCCCCATAGATTGTCTTATGGGAGAGATCTGTCGCAGTTGCCACGCTTGGCAAGCTGGTTGGCAAGCCCATTTTTTTAATTCGTCTGTAATATAAAAATGCTGCCGCCCATCTCCTTGTTCAGATTTCCTGTGTCGCCTTTTGCGAAACCCACGAAGCGATTTGGGTTGGTGAATATTTTTACTATTTGAGTTGGTGAATATTTTTACTCCGGTACAAGGTACGGAAGCTAAACACACGCTGTAAAATTCACAATGCGCAAGCAATTCAGGTTCGACCCCTGCCGGTACCAATGAATTTGTTAATTGCAAAATTTCAAGTGCTGATTAAGATGACATCGCGGGGAAATCTACATGCAAATAAAAACAAATCGAAGACATATAAAGGCGTATTCACGGGTAATTTCCTTGCCCTAAAACCTTATGGTTTTATGGCCTTACGACCTCCGTATTATGCACCCACACGGATACAAAATGCGAAAACTTCCAAGTGACGCACAAATCTTATTCATTCGATGCATACCGGACCTTAAGATGCCAATGTTTGATGCATTACCTGGCTTAAATTCCTACCTTGACCTCTCGATAGTCAATTCATCGCCATCCATATTCTTTATTTAGACTTTCTACATAAATTAACCTTGGCCTTATATTAGGAAAAGTGAGTTTTTGACTTTAGATCTTCCTTCCTTAATGTTACATCATGAATTTTGTTGTTCTTAATCGAGGATAGATGTAAGTGTCTCAGAAAATATCATTTCAGTTATTTTTATTTACAAACAAATAATCTACAATCTTTTAAATTTGTGTCGTTTATCAGTATGCTTTCTCCCTGACGAACATACAGGTTATTCCAGTTACCCACCCTAAAAATGTGTGTAAAAGTGTAAAAACTGTAAAAGTGGATAATTGGAGCAGCCCGCTTGCTCACTATTCTCCATAAAAAATCATAACATAATTCAAAAGCGTTAGGGTTTATTTAACATTACAAGTGGTTAATCCTGATCGCATCTTATAGTTTTTTATTTCAATTAGGCTCATTTTGTGGGTTATTCCGTTTATCCACCCTAAAGAATCCACCCTAGGATGGATACTCGGAAACGCGTGTTCGTCTATCCATCCCCGCCGGGGTGTTCTTCAGACTCTTTACCCCAAGTACAGTTCAACTTTAACTATTAATTAATTTTTAATAACCACAAACGTGAACAAAATCATATTACGTACGTATTGCCGTTACCGTTACAGCCTATGAAAGTCCATGCAATTCGTATTGCATTTAAATCAAAATAAACTTTCTCATTTTAAATAATAATAAGTAATTTAATTATAACTTTTTATTATTTAAAACGTGGAAGTTTAATAAAATGAGTTTTGAATTATAAATTCTATAATATGTCCAGAAAATGACCAACACTAATTTCCATTATTGAGTAGACGTAATTGTTTATCCTGGATAAATTCGTCTCTTTTGCAATCGTCTTCTAAGTTTCTTTAATACATACAACATTCTAAAAACTAATTTATCTAAATTTGGATTTTTATCTTTATTTGAAATTATTTTATGCAACTCCTTTTAATACAGCGTTGACCTTTCAAAGAACAAGTATGTACGTATTTTTATTGGTATGATTATGTCTCCGAAGTATCTTGAGCCAATTTTTATCATGTTTCTATAAATGAATGTACACAGCCGAGGGGAAAACCGAAAGAAATATATATATCTTAATATACATAAATTACGTACAGTTGGGATTTTTCGTTTTAATCAAATTTGCTCACTGTGTGCAGTTTGGTCAAACTTGAGAGATAGGATAGTTCTTTTTTTCCAGGAGTGACCCACAAATTTTTTTGCGAATTCAAGGATATTTAGTAGGACATGACAGGGTCGTCGAAAAGGGCAGAACAACGTTTGCCTGGCAAGCTGGTATATATATATATATATATATATATATATATATATATATATATATTAAGCACACTTCCGGGTATCCACCCTAGCGAGGATTTGTTAGAGTGGATAAACGGAATCTCTCATTTACTAATTTCTTTAGAAGAAAAATTTGTTTAAGCCCATATAGCTACATAAAATATTGATGTTTGTTCCAAAAAAAAGTAGCGTAGTAAGAAATAGTTAAATGTCGACGCCTTTATGCCAATCAAACAATTAAAATCTTACAACAGTTTCAAAAAGTCATTACAATAGTTGACCACAACGGGCCTCGAATCGGTGTTTATTGACTCGGAGGCGATCAGCCTCAGGATCAGTGGCAAATATTAAATAATCAAGGCTATCAGTTTTACATTTATATCCCGCTACAATAATCCAATGTTTCCATATGCAGGATCAGCCTATGAAAACCCCGTCACCGAAGTGTGCCTCGGATGCCTCTGTCAAGCGATTTCTGGATGCAAACTAGGTACTCAGTGTGATGGCGACACTTGCGGTCTATTCCGCATCACGTGGGCCTATTGGGCTGACGCTGGAAAGCCCACTATTGATGGCAGTTCTCCCGACGCTTCTGATGGTAAGTTTACTATAACTTAAACAAAAAATTTAAAAATCCCTGAACTGAACAGATTATCTTGAAACATAGAGAACATTCTCGATTACGACACCTTTTAAACAAAAAAAAAAACTTAATCAAAATCGGTTTATCCGTTTTGAGTGGAGCCATGATGCCACAGACAGACACACAGATACACACTACAAACTTATAATACCCCTCTGTTTTCGTCGGGGGTTAAAAAATCAAATAACTGCTCTCTTTAAAAGAACACATGTTGTCTTATTACAAAACATTGTATTTGCTGGAAACATGTATCGGGTATGTTTCGAAAAGTTTTCAGTATACTGCCTAATACAAATGACGTCATCAATTGACACAATATTGTACTGGCGTGCCGCCGCCATATTGTGTCAGATATCCGGCCATAATAAAATTTTTTTAATTGTGTGTGCGCTGAATGAAGCATGTTAGAATTTGTTTTTATTTATTCAAATACAAAAACATATAGAATTATTGCTGGTATCTCCATTAGGAGGATATAATGATTTTCGGAGCACAAAACAATTGCCAACACTTTTCCAATATTGCGCTAATGTATGACGTCATATACTGTCCTATGTTTTGGAACGAATCACCAGTATAGCGTCGATTCACGACGTCATTTGCATTGGACAGTACACTGGGTTCTATTATGGACCATACACATAGTCTTGGGCTTAAAGTATTGTTTAAGAGAAAGAAAAGAAGAGAAGAATAAAGAAGTTCCTTAGCCGCGGCGCCACTCACAATTATCGCAATATTTGACATTTGCTGTCAAAATATTTTAGTTCACATATTTACGCATTTCAGTAAGATGCGTAAATACTGCATAAAATGAAAACAACGAGAACACTTGTACATATAAATTGTATTATTGAATAAATCGACAATATATTTGAATACAAAATAAACAAAAGAGATAATAAAATAAAATAATGTTGTCTCTACGTTTTTAACGCCGCGGAACATCTTTCGTGAAACAGATTTTATTTTAAGCCTAAGAGAAAATATAATTTACTTTATATAATAAAGCCCTTATTGACCCACGCGAAGTTAGTGATCAGAATACTGGCACACTAGACTACAAATAGTGAGTCATCGATCCTAACTACGTTTCTAACACTAGATACATTTAATCATAATTTTATCCATTACAATCTATCAAAGTCCACTGCTGAGCATTAGGCCTCCTTATAGATTACCTCATAAGGGTCGATATTTGCCATATTTGCCACGTTTAGAAGGCGGGATGGCTGGCGCAGTTTTTTTTTTATAAATTTTGTTAGGGAGACACTGCTACCTCCTTGTTTTTTTTCTTTGTCACATCTTACGATATCCACGTTACGATATACGGTTTTGGATGTTCTTATACTGAAACTACACGGTAAATGGGATCGGTAAAACACTAGATGCAAGCTTTTTCTAATATTATTAGGTTTTAGTCTAAAGTTCCACATATTCTCTTAGGTTAGCGACGAAAAAAACGAAGAGACTTTTTCCTATTGTCATTTGTCACAGAATACGTAACAGTACAGGTACTATTGTCACGAAATAAACGGTTTGTTACGTCGTTCATCATGCGTACAGCAGAAGAGTGGAATAAGTTGCCAGCACCTGTGTTTCCATCCGATTATAATATGGGTGCCTTCAAGGCAAGAGTGTTTTGTTAAGTCAGTGCGCTTCACCATCTTAGGCTTCATCATACATACATTCAAGCTTAGAATAATATTTAAAAAAAGTAGACAACGTGAGACACGTGTAGATGCACCTATTATTTCATTATATATTCTAGCACAGTGTCGCTTTTCGAATTTTGTCACTAACCTAAGAAAAGCTTTAGTATCTCTGCTTTTATGTGTACACATGTGTACATAAACTTCGGACAGTAAAGGAAGAAAGTAACAGACTTATACTTCGCAGTACGTGGCACTGACTTTCGAAAAAAAATACAATAACATAACCTATAATACAATGATCGTATTAAACACTAATTTTTGTACTTTTCAGCTTACCCCAGATGTACAAATGACCCGCGATGCGCTGCCCAAACTGTTCAACAGTACATGAGACGTTTCGGACAGGTAAGCTTAAAAAATCATACACTTATGCCCATATACTTAAACGCTGCTCAATTTTAAGATGGCGTTAAGTTTCGTGCTGTTTCTATCACTTTAAGTCCAAGTGACTGTGACACCACGAGATTTAACGACATGTTACTTAGGTTTTACCCTTAGCCAAATAAATCTACAAATGAAGTATTAGGGGAAGAAAAACATTTTTCACCAAATGGAAACTTCACCTGAACTTGGTGCGTTCTGCTTATTTGATTGATGGTCATGGCAATCCACTGATCTGGCCGAGAAATCCAACCAAAACCACTCAAACCGAATTTGATATGTACCAATTTAGAAATTCGGTTTGAGTATTACCAGTGCGAGGATATCGGCTGAAATTCGTTATTTGGAGCATTTTTTGAAATACCTATGCGACAGTGGGTTTTAAAGGCGGAGGTAGAAAGAACTTAGACCATTCATTGGTCTAAGAGAAAGAAATACCGACGCTGGCAAATTAATCCACTCATAAATAATCGTTACGCGATACATTTATTTAAATAGGTATGGAGCAAAGCCGCGGAATAAAGAAAGTGAAGCTTATCTAAACAAAATAAAGTTTAAAAGGAGGGTTTTAATCAATATTAAATCTAAAAAGGTTGTTTATTCAATGGGTAAGTACTCATTCATAACATCCTATTAAATATTCACTGTTGAACAGAGGCATCCCTCATAGTTGAGAGTATATTTGACACAAGAATAAAATATAAAAGAGTTTTTTAATATTCTTAATAATATTCTCTAGCGAGAATTAAAAAAAAATATATTTTTTTATGCATTTCTTTATATATTTTAATGAGTCAAAAGTATATCTGAATTCGGGATTTTTGAAACTTTTAAATTATTTTTTATTAAAAAAATTCTTAACTCCGAAAATATTATCAAAAAGGCATAGAACCTTTTTTATTCGTATTTCATTGAGGTATATAGAAGAAATATTTTTATACTTTACTCGTCATTTTTTTATTTATTATAAGCCAGTGTTTGACCATAATCCCACCTGGTGGTAAGCAGTGATGTAGCTGTAGATAGTAAATCGCACTGTCTTAGCTTAACAAAAGCCTATTTCAGTCTTGCTTTGAAGACGCCCAGATTGTATTCGAACGGACAAATAGACAAAAAAATAATCAGTTTTTTGTCGTATATCAAGTAAAATACCAACAAAATGAACGATAAAAGATCACACGGCGTTATTTAAAAGAAAATTAAAATTGACCTTCAGTATGATTGCGTAACTCTGGTGTGAATCGTCAAAACAAAATCAACCATTTTGTTTTGACGTTTCACGCTTGGTGTCGTTGTACTTGCGTCAATATGAATGTATAACTAACAAAGCAAATTTCTATTTTTTTATTTCCACCAATTTTTTATATTCTTGCATTGTTATCCAAATTTGAGTTATAATAAAAATTTCAAGTTTCCAGCTCATCAGAAAGTTGGTTTAAAATCAATTACTAAATTCCATCCGGAACGACAGACAAACAAGAAAGTAACCTAATAAAAACGTTTTTATGTTAAGGCGAAACTTTTCTACGTTAAAATGCTTTTAGCGCCCCCTTCTCCACCGCACGCATATTTGTGCAGCATGACCTACCTAAACGTGCGACATTCGGTGGACAATAAGTTACATTATATGAAACGTTTTTACTTATTACCTGAAAATAAAATATCTAAATAAAAATGTAGCTGATTAAAAATCTAATTCAATAACATTCCTTTCATATTGTCTAAATATATTATATATTACGGTTATCACTCAAAAAAGAGAACCGAAACTTGAAACGTCGAAGTTTTTCCCGGTGATTAAATTATATATTTTTTATTTCGATTCGATTCGATTCGAACGTATTTCAAAAATCCAGAGCTTTCTTATTTATCTATATATAGATATTCTTAATATATAGAGATTTCTTATTTATTAATAGCGTGGTCGCTATTGATAAATAAGAAATGTTGAAGATATCGTGTTATATACATAGAAAATACAAATAAATACGAAAAAATAAATATATACGTGGTAGAGCTATGCTGCAGTTATATAAGTAGTATAGTTATAGCACGAATGGGTCGGCTCGACCGGGGAAGGACCACGCTCTCACAGAATACCAGCGTAGAATAGTAGCGTGATGCTGCTGTGTTTCGTATGGTGAGTGTAGAGAACCGGAGACCCTTTTTACTGGAAAAGAGGCATTCCATCTTAGTCCTCACGTGTGACAACCCATCTGCATTTTTAGATAGATATAGATGTCTATGGGCTACAGCACAGGTGGACTATGTGCTCGTTTTTCACCCTGTCCTATAAAAAAAAACATGTACACGATTTGATAATATTCACATTCTTTGACGTACGTTAAAACAACAAAACTTACTTTAAAAAAAAGGTAATATTTTATTAAAAGCGATGTAATGCCCTATCCGCGAAGCCAGTGGGCGTTGTTGTGAGTAAGTCGACACAACATACTCCAACTTTACCATTTATAATTTGCATATAGAGTCGCAGTCGGGACTGGTGACATCATCCGCCTAAATACCAAGGCTCGCATAAGCAACAATAGTCAACTTCTTGTAAAGGCTTTGTTATATAACCGGATTGACGACCATGTAACTTAGAGGTCAGATTATCTAGCTGTCTACTAGCTAATCCCAACGTCACGGGTTAAGTCGATCCAATGTCAACATTTCTTGGAATAATTATTTTTTAAACGAAAGAGAACGAGCACACATTCCTTCTTGTGTATGCTAAGTGGATGCTATGGCCCATGGACACACTTATCGTGGATTAAAAATGAAAATTCAGATGCGTTGTCACCCCTAAAGATTATAGTGGTTGCGGGTAATATGGTCATCCGATTAATATGGTCACTTTCTTGTAACTCAAAAACTACAGCCTAGTTTGGGTAGATGAATTTGTCATACGATAGCTATTCATCCCGTGTTGTCGTCTACATGCCATGGGTATGCCATGCAGGTATCGGGCCTCGGGGTATATCCCCATTACCCGGATGTTCATCATGGCCCATGACTATGGGCCAGTCCTTGGAGCCTATTTCTAGACTTAGATGGTTGCTGCGGGTTAATTCGTAGTCAGAAAAAGTTTTCACGTAGTCGGTTAACTACGGAAAAAAAGGAGGTTGTCCAGTAAAAAGTTAAAGTTGGCCTATCAGCGGCATTGTGGGTTGTTACTCGACTCTCTAATCAATATAGAGAGGAGTTCTCTTGGAAGAGGTCACCCGTCCGGGGGCCGGGTGTGCAACGGCGCGAAGCCGTTGAGGTGTTCGTGACAACGGACCGTTATCGGCGCGGTCGACCCATCTGTGTATACGTCATTCCGGACGTAGCGACCTGCTCCGACGATCGTCCTTAATGTCAGATTTTGCTGAGCCTGCAGTCGCCGCCTCAGGGGGTCGCTCAGAAGCGCGTACCAGGCCGGAGCAGCATAGGTGATGATAGTCCGGATATACATCTTGTATATCCGGAGCTTGGTTCTTGTTGGCAGCTTGGATGCCAGGACTGGGCGGAGCATCGCCCGCGCACATCTGGCTCTGCGGACGACGAAGTCGACGTGCGCGGTCATGCACAACGTCCTGTCGATCCGGCACCCAAGGTAGGTCACGGCCTTCTCGTACGCGATCTTCTGGCCATTGAGGATCAGCGGAGACTAGCGGTGGTAAGTTTCTGAGACGGCGAGTGAGCAGAGTGGTCGTCTTACCAACGTTGACGACCATCCTCCACTCATTCAGCCATGGTGGCAGCAGGTCCAGCAGACGCTGCATTCAGGCAGTGGCTATATGGGCTCTTCTGGACGAGGTGAAATAGGCGCTATCGTCCGCATATAGCGCCAGCTCCACGTCGTCCTCCCACTCTTGCAGCCTTCCTGCCAGTGTATATAAGCCGCGTACAAGACTGGAGACAAACAGCTGCCCTGATGAACGCCGGCTCTGATGGTACGTGTTGCGGATACGGCGTCCTCTACACAGACGTAGAACTTCCTATCTTCCAGGAAAGACGCTATTAGCCGCAACATAGCAGGAGGGACACATATATATGCGGCCTCGGTTGTACTCTGGCGCAAGCAGGTGCAGCACTCTAGTCAGCTCTGTGACTGTGGAGTGACCCCTCCTGAATCCGTGCTGCTCCGCCCGAAGTTGGATGCATGGATGGAGACGTCTCAGCAGCAATCTTTCAAGCACTTTAGCTATGTGCGGTAATAGCGTGATCGGCCTGTAGCTGGCAGCTCTACGCCTGTCCTTCTCGGGTTTCTTCAAGACGATAACTTTGCCTTTCTTCCAGTTCCTCCGGGAAGTGGGATGTCCACAATATCCCATTGTAGAGTCGACCAATCTCTACTAGGACTCTATTGGGCAGCTGTCGGAGTGCAGCGTTGGTAATCCCGTCGTGCCCAGGCGCCTTCCTCGGTTGCAGGCGGGTTACTGTCCTCCGTAGTTCAGCGGGGGGAGATGAACCACTCTCCTGCAAGCGGTGGCGCGGGCGACGACAGGAACTCCTGTACGCGACTCTCCTTCCGGGCATGAAGCTCCATGAACTCCGCACTTGCTGGGTTCGGCATAAATTGCTCCTCGAAGTGCTCTACTAGGATATCCGCTCTTCTCTTGGCATCGTAGCAGCGTTCACCCGCGCTGTTGGTCAGCGGGCAAACGGGAGGTCTGGCTTTGGTCAACTGTCGGTTCAGTTTATAGAGCGACGCATCATGCTCATCCGCCTTCCAGATGCGCCGGTCCCAGGCCTCTCCTCTGAAGGCCTGGACTGCAACCGACAGTTCTTCCGACAAGGTGTTTGTTCATCTCCTCCGCTCCTTGCGCCTGATCTGCACGCATATCTCACGTGGCAGATCGTCTCGCCTTGCAGTGATCGAGACGATCGTAGAGGCCGCGTGGAGGGCCTCCTGGATGTTCTTGGTAATTCTAGTAGCAGCGGCCTCTACGTCGTCCGCTGTGCTAATAGGATGGTGGACTGGAGATCTCTCCTGCAGATGTTGACAGTAGAGCCTCCAGTCGACACGTGTCTTGAATGCTCTGGGCGACGTAGTTACCGCCTTTAGGCCAAGGGTGATCAGAATCAGGAGGTGCTGTGAGCTTAGGTCGTACAGCACTTCTACCGCTATCGGGTAGTTGACGTTCCTAGTGAGCACGATGTCCAATACATCCGGACATTTTCGTGGATCAGATGGAACGTGTGTCGGTTCTTCGGGACCTAAAACGTCATAGTTGTTATTCTCCGCGTCTTCATAAAGTTCAAGACCCGGCGGGGTAATCACTCTGGACCCCCACGCCGGGTGTTTCGCGTTTAGGTCCCCGGCGATAATGGTGAATGTATCGCCTTCCATTATTGTCCGGACGTCTGAGGAGCAAAATGGAGTCCCTGGCGGGCGGTATGCTGCATAGATCTTTAATTCCTCGCCCGCCGCCTCCATTTTTATGCCGATAGAGCGCATTGTCTGGTATGTTGGTAATTCCAGCTCTTGATGGACGATGTCCCTCCTCACTAGAACCGCCGTCCCTCTATAGGCGGCCCCTTGAGAAGTGAGCTCGTTCCTTCTGTATAGGTGGTAATTTGGCAGCTTTAAATGCGTCTTGGGATTTAATTTTGTCTCTCCCAGCAAGATGACATGTAAGTCCTGCTGCTGAGCGACTGTGCGGAGTTCATGCAGCTTCTGCTGTGTTCCGTACGGGTTCCAATAGAGGAGGCGCAAGTTACTCTCCTCCGTAATGCCGGGCCAGGAGGTTTGCCAGCGCCTTCATTACCGCTGTTATTGGATCGGTCCCGGCTCTTATGTCGGTCAGGACCTGACTGCCGACCTCGATAGCTATGCCTACCAAACGTTGGATGGCATCTGCTGTCTCGAAGCCGGCTGTGGGTGTTCTTCTATATGATGGCGTTGGCACTGGTCTCGGGCGTTGATCTTCCTGCACTCTTTGCTTTTGGGTAGAGCGCACTCTATGTGTAGAACGGGCTCTATTTTCAGATAGAGCCCTTTCTGGCACTCTACCCACGTTCTTCTTGGTTATCTCGCGAGTAACCTGCGCCTGTGAAGCTACTGGTTCTGCTGGTGGCGGGGTAGAGGTGACAGCCTAAGGAGGCTGCGACTTCTTTTTGCTCCTCTCCCACCTCCTCCTTCTAGAGGGTTGCCGTTCTGTGGCGGGATTGGCGGGGGACATAGAGTCGCCCCGGTGGTTGCCCACGGGTTCCACCGTTTTCATAGGTGTTATGGGTGGGAGGGGGGGCTGCTTGCCTGCCCTTGCCTGTTACGGTATCCCACCCGTCTTCTCGGATTGTAACTGCTCTTGGGCGACTCTGGGGAATCTTTTTCGGGTCCTCCGGGAGTAGCCCTGGCACAGGACTGGGCAGCGGCGGTCATTTGCCGTGTGGTTTTTGCCACAGTTGGCACATTTGGGTTCCTCATCTCTACCCCGAGGGCAAAGGCTCGCTATGTGCGCGCAGCGCACACATTTCACTGGCCTGAAGCAGTTGGCGGAGGCGTGCCCGAAAGCCTGGCATCGGTGGCATTGAGCTGGTCCTGCTTTCCTTTGCCAGGCCTCGATGACGACCCCTCTCATATAGAGGAGTTCGTCGACTTTGTATAAGTCCTGGAGCTGCTCCAGGCTCAGGTGGTCCAGTTGGGCGAAGTAGGGGCAGCCAGGTCTGCCCCTACGTGGTGGAATCGCCTTCACATATCTGATGGGGAAGCCCTTTGCCCTAATAGCTTGCTCGATGGATGTGGTGTCCGTGCCCATTGGTAGACCCCGGATGCCCACTTTGGTGGGATTGTCCTCCTCCGGGGTATAGCAGTACCACGATAGATTTGGTAATTCTTTAGAGAGTTCGACCATGTATTTCTGTATGGTACGAAATTCGTCGGCACTCTGCGGCGTGAAGCGTACTCCTCTCCCGAATGGACGGGAATTTGGAGGGTGGCCCAACTTTCTGTCGAGCTCCTTAAAATGCCTCGTCCAATCCGGGAGGCATTCGGCCACTATGGGCGGATATCTCGATTTCTCCTGGTCAGCAGGTTTATCAGCTGGCTTCGATGCCGCCTGCGGTCGTGGCACTGCTGGAGCTGCTGCCATATGGGCATAGCTGGTGGATGGTCGTTGGCCATCGTCCTGCGGAAGCCCGGACGGATTAGATGTCGTCACAGGCGATGATCGGCCCGCAGATGCTGCGCATATGTTGTGGACCCCCAAATGTAGGATTCTTCTCCCCCCTACTCGTACTGGGCCGAGTCGTGGCTACGCACGTCCGGTGACATGGAGCGGGGGGGGTTGTGGTGGTGAGGGCGACTTTGGCGGCGATTTGTGCACCCTCTTCGTCGTTGCTTGATGGCGGTCTTCATCCTCCGATGATGATGTTGGTACATCGGAGGAAGATAGGTTGGAGCTGATTCTCTGCCTCTTTTCAAATAAAGAGGCCTCGGTCTCGGGTGGGGTGTGGCGTCTGGCCGTTTTCTTTGCCCGCTGCTGCTGGGGCGACGGTTCCTGCCTGACCGTGTGCTCAGTCACGGCTGGCGTGAGCGCGACGCCCGGTGCGGGCTCTTTCCGCAGAGAGACTGGTTTTCGTTGTGGGATCTGTGAAAAGGATGACACTATTCTAGTGCGCTCCGGATTCACCAGATCCCTAACAACAAGTGGGCGATCCAAGACACCTTTTCGGTCCGGTGGTTTTCTTATACTCGGAGGGGGGCGGTTCCCCCTTGTTCTTATCGGACATGATACGAACCTACCTATGTCAGTCGGGTAATCTAATTTAAGGCCCTATCTATAATACCAGCCGATCGATGATGCGCGACGCGGATGGTGGGGATGATGAGAGAATTGACTTTCCCCACTTGGGGCACTGCCTACCCCTTTTGCAACAAAAGGGTTGGGGGAAGTGCGGTGGTGGCACTTTAAACGCGCGACTAGGAACTGTAAGCACGGAGCGCTTTAAAGTGCCTAAGAATCTGCCTAGGGGCCGGTGACCTCGACGCCTCACGGAATCAGCGGACTCAGCGATCGGCGGAGTATGTCGTACCGGCGGTTGTATGTGTTCTCTGCTAAACACAAACAATGCACACTTAGGAGATCCTTATTCATCAGTCAATCAAATAATGCAAGGTCAAAAAGGCGCTGCTTTATCGACGCCACATTGACAGTTGACATTATAGTAAATATTTTAGTTGATTTTAGTATGGTGTAGTGTAGTTAGGATTTTTTATTAGATTTTTCGAAGTGTCTGTAACTTTTTTCTTGTGTCGGTCTGTGCTCGAACCATGGTATTACGATTTTGTGACCGCCTAATATACCAATTAAGCTATTTGTAATCATTAATAAACTGTCAAAATTTACCTTCTTATTCTAACGATATTGTAGCAGTTTTTCATTGCCTAAAAACACGGACAAAAAAGACATTTTCTAAAAATAAATCCTAGCTAGATCGATTTATTGCCCCCGAAACTACCTGCACACAAAATTTTATGAAAATCGTTGGAACCGTTTCCGAGATTCCGATTTTTTATATATATATATATATATATATATATATATATATATATATATATATATATATATATTAGGATATGAAAAATTTTGTTGTAATTTTTGAAGTAGGTACCGAAAGTTTATTTCAAATTTGTAGTATTCATTGATAGATCAATATGTTAAAGTAAAATAAAATAAAATTTTTAAAATATCAGTTCCATAGGCTTCTATTCCGTTCACCTGTTACACCCTATTTTTTCCAGACGGTAAAAAAATCACCCAGTATATAGTTTGTTTACAAAAGCTAAAACAAACTATGTAGTTATTAGTATTATAATTTATAGACTTTTCTCAATGAGAGAGTTGAGAGTTACAGGCCATAGGTATGGCCACAGAACATAATTATGCATACATTATAATGATAGGGTAGGGTCATCAAACTAGCCATAATATAGTTATCAAAAATATAGTTATCAGAATGATGCTGTAGCCCCTTTTCAACTTCCCTCTGTCACCCTTTACGATATCCACGGGTTGATATGGGATAGTGGATTCAGTTCGTCGCCACTTCAAGGCACAACGGGTAGATTTAATGTATTTGTGGCATTTTATTCCTGTCAACCCTGGGTTTAAAAAAAAGGACAGGTAGCACCTGCCATTTGTACCCGCCATTTTTTAACTTAAGTCACAACTACTTGTGCTAATATAACTAGTATTATGTAAATAAACAGTTTATAAGTTTAATTTTTTTCTCAGGACTGCAATGGTGACGGACAAGTCGACTGTTATGATTACGCAGCCATCCACAAGCTCGGAGCGTATGGATGCAGAGGTGAACTGCCGTTTAAATACTACAACGACTTCAACGAATGTTTAGCATACGTCGCTTCCTATCAAGGTTGAACCCAAACGAAATAAAAAAACTTTGGAACTGAATTTTTGAAATTCAAAAATAAATTGATAATTTAAATTCCTTATAATGTGAAATAATTTATAAAAAGTATCAAAAACTATTTAATATACTAAAAGACTGCAAAACTTGTAAAAGAATCACTTATGTATTGATATCGTAAATTGTAAAAAACCAAACTAATTAGAAAAACTTTCATTGTAATAAATTATATTTGAATGATAAGCTGAGTTTTAATCCCTCAAAATCCCGTCTTTTGTTGCTTAGACGAACTTAACAATTTTATCGTCTGCGCAGCACCGTTTTATACGTGGTAGAGCCACGCTGCAGCTATATTATGGTTGCAGCTCGAATGCGTCAGCTCGACTAGAGTAGTACCACGTTGTTACAAAATACCAGCGTAAAATACCAGCTAAATGATGCTTTTTTTTGTAAAGTAAGTGTAGAGAACCAGAGACCCTTTTTACTGGAAACGAGACATTTCATCTTGGTCCATAGGGAAACAGAAACAGAAACTTTTTTTATTCAATGTAGATTATGAACGATACTTATTGAAAGTCAATTTTTTCATTTACCACTGGTTCGCAAAAAAAACCTCTGTCCTGGGAAGAACCAGCAAGAAACCCAGCGGGACTATTTTTTTTTTCAAATAAAAATTACAATCATGTTTACAATTAACAACACAAGACAAATTAAAAATAGCTTGGTAGCGATCACCCTTCCCAGGGGTTATTATCATCCATAAATTCCTTAATATTATAACCCTTTTTATACAAACTTAGTTTAATAAAATTTTTGAACTGATTTTGTTGTAAAAGCGTATACATCGTCCCAAGAATGAATTACTGACTCGGTGGAGTCGAGTAACTGGTACTACTAGCTTGTGTCTGTTCCTAGTATTTACAGAATGAATATCACTTATTTTTGAAAAACTACGTTTATTCTTGTGTACGTACATTACATTTTCATAAATATATTGAGAGGCCAGAGTTAATATATTAATTTCCTTAAATTTTTGTCTCAGTGACTCTTTTGGTTTTAAATTATATATTCCTCTAATGGCTCTCTTCTGTAAAATAAATATAATTTCAGTGTCAGTCGCGTGTCCCCATACCAAAATACCATACGACATAATGCTATGGAAATAACTAAAGTAAACTATTCTTGCTGTTTCATCACTGGTAAGAGTTCTAATCTTTTTTACAGCATATGCTGCAGAACTAAGTCTGCTAGCTAGTTTTGATATATGGGGGGAGCCATTGAAGCTTTGCGTCCAGTGTGATTCCAAGAAAAATGGTGGTATCAACAAGACTCAGTTCTTCCCCATTTAAAATTACATTCGTATTAACATGTCATGTGGGATGACAATGCATCTGCATTTTGATTCTTAATCGAGGATAAATATAGATGTCTAAGTGCCATTGCATCAACTTACCATTAGCTGGCCTGTATGTTCATATGTCACCCTTATTCAATAAAAAATCTATTTACAATAGAACATTTATTTGACAAAATAAGCAATGCTAGAGCCACAGCAATAGCACCACGAATTTAATGTGGTAGAATCATACTGCAGTTATGTTTTGGTTGTAACACAATTGGGTTGGTTCGAATGGAGAAGGACCTCACAGAATACTAGCGTAAAATAGCATAGAAAATTAATGCTGTGTGTTTCGCATGGTAAATGGGAGAATCAGACCCCTTTTTACTAATAACGAGGTATTCTATGTCAGGGTGACAACGCATTAATATTTTGATCGAGGATAGATGTGAATGTCAATGGGTCACAGCACTCATTTACACGAAAGTCTAGCGGTGACTGTTATTGCGCATAAGTCGAAAATAAGGTATCATGGGGTAGTAAGCGGGTCGCGGGGCGGGTGTACATATCGTTCGCAAGCGCTGATTGGCTGTGCGTATCGCTCCCAAGCGCTGATTGGCTACTGCTACTTGCGTACGACTACCGCTATTGGCGTACTGATCGAAATGCGCAGCTATCCCCTCCACCTTTCGTTCAACGCTAGAGTTACGTGCGTGCGACTTGTACGTGTTACGCGCCTATTGCGTGCGCGTAAATGCGTGTAACGCGTGCGTGAGACGCGTTTTGTGTGTGCGTGGCGTGTGCGTGCATGGGCGACTGCTGTGCTCGTGCGTGTGCGTGCGTGTGCGTGCGTGTGCGATTATTGTCATGCTAATTTTCTCCGGCGATGGTGCGCGTGCGAATAAAAAATAAGATAATTATGTGCGTGCAAAGTGTGCGTGCTTGTGTTAGCGTAAGCGTGTGTGTGTGTAGTGTGTGTGTGTGTGTGTGTGTGTCTTTATAGATGTACATATATAGTTATTGGTTAGATGATTTATAGTTAGTATTAGTGGTAGTAAATGGCAGAATAACTTTCAAGTTTACGCCAGATATAATACACTCAGACGGATGACGGGGATCAGTATGTTAGGTTTGATACGCGTCTGCGATGCGAAATGTTATCGCGAATACCCTTGCCAAATATGGCGATGTAGGGAAATCCGCTCATTAAGGTGAAAAAGATTTCTATGAATCACGGTCCACAGCCACATTTCTCGACTCTTAACATGAAGAATGCCCTCTAATTTGATGTCCTACATTGTGCTTGCTTTTACGAGGCTGTTATTTTAATTTTTTGAAATAAATTCTTGACTTCAGCTAGAACTCAAGAGAAGGGTTTGTGATTCAAAATTGACCAAAATTATGATAACAACAATACTTTACACTTTTCTACCTACAGATGTCATACTACATACGGACAAGCTTTGAGCAAGAGTCGGATAAAGGTAGAGCCACAATGCAGGTATATTATGATGGTCAATGTCCTCTATTTTGACTTTCGAAGGTCGTTTGATAGGGTTAATAATGACATGCTTTTGAATAAGTTTGCAGCCATAGACTTTGCTTAAGGTCTTCTTCGGTTAATCGCAGACTACCTTCGCGATTGCAAACAGTATGTCAGGCTCGGTTTATACGAGTCAAGCCCTATCATACGCGCTCAGCTAAGGTTTCAGTCAGGGATCGATTCTTGGTTCTCTGCTCTTTTTGATTATGATAAATGACCATCCAACAGTGTTTGCACACTCGAAATGTTTGCTGTACGCAGATGACTTAAAATTGTTTACGGAGATAAAATCAGTAGTCGATTGCGTGGCAATGCAGAATGATGTAGATGCTATATTCCAGTGGAGTGTTAAGAACAAAATGTAGCCTGACCTGTCTTTACAGACGTAAGTTATTCCCTATCTGTTACGATTGTAAAATCAACAATCATGATATGTCTCGGACTGACACTATAAAAAACCTAAGGGTTATAATTGATCGAAAGGTCACATTCCCCGCTAACATAGTAACGTTAGCTAAGGAATCATACAAAAGCTTGGGATTCGTTCTCAGAAATGCTAGAGTTTCGTGGAGTTTAATACGCTTCATACTCTGTTTTTTGTTTTGTAGAATAAGGGGGTGACAAACGAGCACACAGACCCCTTGATGGTAAGTCGATGCTGTGGCCCATAGACTAAGAATATCCTCGATTAAGAATCAAAACGCAGATGCGTTGTCATCGCTGAGGACAAACGATACAAAAAGCCTTTTGAAGATATCTCTGCAAGCGTCTTTATGGATACTATCCACATTTATATCCCACTAAATTTCTCCTCATTTCTTTGAGTTACAACTTTTTGCAAGCAATTCGAGCGTATCAACTAGCTATCACGGCGGGTAAAGTAATTAGAATGGGTCGGCTTGACCGAGTCAGGACCACGCTCTCACAGAAGACCAGCATAAAATAGCTACGTAATAGTGCTGTTTTTCGTATGGTGAGTGTAGAGAACCGGAAAACCGTTTTACTGGAATCGAGACATTCCACCTTAGGCTTCAGGAATGACAACGTACTTGCATTTTGATTCTTAATTGGGAATAAATAAGGACTCTAGACCTGAGTGCCGAAGTATGTCGATTATATCACCAAATTTTTTTTGTAAACTATGTACTTTTAACTTTACTTATATTATTATTGGTGCTTTCTAATCTCTTAGGCGTGCGTAAAATATGTGAAGTTTCGAATAAGTTAGTTTAATTGTTGGATTGTTTGTGTGTATTTTGAGTTAATTGTACAGTTTTATTCTCTGCTTGTACGTGAACTTCAAGAGGTAATGTTGTTTGCAGTTGTTACATAGTTAAAGTTCCCGTTGTAACGAATGCTAGTGGTTGGTATAAGGATATGGGCTGCTTACGCTGAAAATCGTTTTTCCCAAATTAAATTATTTTTTTTACTAATTTTAGTTTTATCTAATTATAATGTAAAGCTCCAGCTTAGATTCGCTCAAGCTAATAAAATCATACCTTCGTATGACAATAATGGAAGACATGTTGCACGTTTTCGCGTAAAAGTTGTACGGCTAAAACTTAGTGAGCAAAAATTTTTTTTTTGTGGTGTGTTTATTATATTATTTTTATATTATATACAAAAATTCTGGATCAGTTACTGGAAAGGCTTATATTCGTCCCACAGCTGTCTTTTATTTCTGAGAGAGGAAAAATGTCGTGCCTTAATGCAGACTGGGATTCCTTTTATACGCTAGAATAAAAAATTAATTTTAATAAAAAACTGCGAAGCGTTTATCGCTAATATATATCCCGTAGTTGTTTTTCTATTTTCGCCAATACGCTACCACAAACTGAAAACAAATTACTTCTATTCTATTATATTTTCCCATCACATCCGGTGTTCCCCAGGGATCACATTTAGGGCCAGTTTTATTTAACGTGTTTATTAACTATATTCCTAATTGTTGTTTACATTCCAATTGTTTTATGTATGCTGACGATTTAAAATTCTGTAAAATCATTAATAAATCGTCAGCCATGATACTTCTTCAGGAAGATTTAATCATACTTTCTAAATGGTGCAATGTTAATGGAATGAATCTTAATCTAAAAAAAATGTGTACATGTTAAATTTACGCGCAAAAATAATATTTTCCCATCAGTTTATAAACTCAATCTGGTAGTTATCTAAGACGTGGAAACTGCTAAGGACCTACGTGTAGTATTCGATAAAAACTTACTATTATACCACAACTAGAAAGTGTTATTAAAAGGTCATCTCAATCATTAGGTTTTGTTATAAGAAATAGTAAATCATAATATTACACAAAAAAGGCTTTTTATTTTAGAAGCATATTAGAATATTGTAGCACAGTCTGGCGTCCCCATTATTCTACCCATAACCTTCGGCTTGAGCGCATACAAAAAAGATTTTTATGGCATCTTGCCTTTTCAACACGAAACGCATATAAAATGCATCATATGTAGACATTTATTAAAGACATTTAAAATGATCTCACTGTATAAACGCCGGGATATTCTGTATTTGCAACTTTTTTACTAAGTAAATTTGCCCTTTATTACTAAGTAAATTTTATTTTCGTATCCCAAGTAGATATCCTCGTAAGTTTATTACTCCTCTTTCACCGCCCCTTCGTAGAACTGTACTAGGATTTAATTCACCAATACCTATACTTTGCAGACTTTTAAATACTTATAATAATCTAGTAGATATTCACCACACATAACATTTTTCGGCACAAAATTTATCAAAATATTAATATTTATTAGTAGTACCTAATTTTTTATATTAAATTATTACCCTTTTTAATTTTGAAATTTTGTATTGTATATTTTAGCTATTAAGTAAAGGGTTGTAGGAAATGCTGTCAGCACTAAGCATGCGATGTTTACCTGTTATTGAATGTGCACTTAGTTTATATTACTGCCTTAAAATTCAGCATGTGTATTAGTGTAACATTTGTTAGTGAACCAAATAAATACTGTTTAGGCATCCTTACATTTTTTAAATCCTGAGCTTCCACCACATTCTATTTTTTATAACGCGATGATATGACACAAAATATTGATGATTTAAATTAAACGACATGACATCATCCCTATCCGTAGATCTCTCGTAGTAAAACAGTCTATTATACACAATTAAAATATTATTGTATTATGTGTTATGTTTACAAACGAACTATGAACTAGGAACAGTTATGGTTTCTGTAGTCATTTTTATCCATTCACTAAAACAGTACAGATCTACACGTGTGTAGTAAGCGAGAAGGAAGGAAGAAACTCGAATTAATAATTTCCTGTTATTCCAGTGTAATTAAACAAGCGTGTGGAAAGTACATTTCGTAAATTACGTTATACTACATATAAGATCATACCTACGAAATAAATTTACAGACGTCCAAAACATACCCAAGTAAGTTTCTAGAATTTTTCATGATACTTATCCGTTTTTGGTGATGTATGTATCCTCATCATAGTGATATGTTGTGCACTACAATTTCATCTGGTGGTGATTGATGATGAAGCCAAAGATGGTAAATCGCACTGTTTTAGCGTAACAAATGTCTTTTCAGTCTTTCCTTAAAACAACCATAGAATTGTTAGTATAATATATGATTTATTTGTTTTATGAAATGATTTTTAGAGGTTTGACAATTTAAAAATGTCCAAAATTTATATTCACATCAGATAGGAATACTTTTTACATTCATCTCTTTTCCTATATTACTGCCACACATCTCACGTTATTTAAAAATGAGCTTAGGTTTACAAACCTAAACCTTGGGTTTAAAATTAATAACCTAATACTATAAAAGCCCTCCAGTGTCGTAAATTTGAAATTGTACTTAAGAAAATGCTTATCGTAAAAACCCATTATAATTTGAATGAATATTTTAATGATAAATTATAAATCAATTTTAATTATTTTAACAAAGTTCATAATTTTTTACTTAATTGACATTGTTAATATTTTCATTAAAAAATTTAAACCTTATTTACTTAACATCTCTGAGTATTGCATAACATAAATGACGCATAACTTTTTATAAATTAATTATTAATAATCTAGATTGTGTAGGTACTACGAATATTGCAATTTCATTTAATTCTATGTTACATTTAAACACTGTCTTAAAATGCTACGCTCGTACTGGGTGAATGTATTGAATATATTGTATCATCTTTATACTTGACGTGACGTGCAATAAAGGAATTATGAATTATTAAAAATTATTTCTTTAAAATCCATGTTGTAACATTTAATTTCTATTTTATTTTTAACCTCCATTTCGTTTTAAATAGGCTGAATAGGAATGAAAAGTTCCTATTTTATGTTTTTGGTAATTACGACATTTTATTCTGATCCTGCATCAAGAAGTTTTTATTCTGCAAATACTGGTGTACCGTTATTTAAAGTTATTGCTTTTTAATGAATTGACTAAAAGATTTCTTTACAATGTCTACAATCCCAGTACATTTTAATATTTTATGAATGTGTCATTAGAAGTTTTTATTTAACTTGCTTTTTTTGTATGTCTACCCGGTTCAAAAATTGTAATCAATATTGCATGGATTTAAAATAAATAATTGCAGATGCGTTGCCTGCCTTTTAAAAAGAGTAGGCTCTTTTCTTAAAGGCCCATAAGACCGGAAAAATAGCAATTTCTATTTAATTTTAATGACAATGAAAAAATTGTGCCATAGAGCTGATCTGATGATGGAACTGGATGCTTAAAATATTTTATCAATTTGAATAATCACATTTCCTTTTTCAGAAATCATGAAAATCATTATTTTCTTAATTGTGATGCAGTTAATATTCACGTGTAACGCAGCTGAATTACCATACCGGTCAAAAATGTTGCAGTTTTGTGGAAAAAAATTAAAGAAGGCACTGGAACTAGTCTGCGAGGGAACAGACATTAATCTTGAAAGGGAACTAGAAACGCTGAAGAAATCTACAAAACGTATGATAATTTATAAAAAAGAATATACATACTTAAAATACATTTTTTTAGGATAGTGAAAGCATAGAATAGGATAGCGAAGTCATAGAAGACTGGGTAAGGACCACGCTTAGGAATACAGGTAAAATAGCAGTATACTGTCGTATGGTGTAGAGCTCCGAAGACCCTTTTTTAAACGAGACATTCCGTCTTAGTCCTAAGGGGTGACAACGCATCTGCACTTTGATATTTAAGGGAGGATAAATGTATCTATATTCTCTATCATCTATGGGCATCGGCATCCACTTACCATTAGGTGGAATGTGTCGTTTGTCACCCTCATTCTATAAAAAAAAAGAAATACTCGTATAAAGTTGTTTGAAATATAACTGAACGGAATTACTCACTACATACCTAACTATAAATAAAGATGAAAACCTACTAATTTGATTTTTTGTAATAAAATTTACAACCTTCTAAACATTACTAAAAATTTTCCGTTGTATTTATTTAATCACTTGAATTTACAGAAGAATTACACAACAAGAAAGGATCAAACAATTTTCTAAAAATATCGCCACGACTTAAGAGGGCTTATGACGTCAGCCTAAACCTAGTGGACACCTGTTGTCAAAAATCATGCAATCTAGAACAACTACGAGCGTACTGCTGACAGAAACGAAATATTTTCAAATAGTTTTATGGAAAATTTGATATATATATGTATCAAGTATATCAAAATACTCGAGAAAATAGAATAAAAATTGACGCTTACGACTTTAGTCCAATAAATAACTTTTTAGAAGTATGTAATGTTATTATGTATTAATAAACGTTGACTTAAACTTATGTCATATTCCTATTTCGAAAGTAACAAAAATTACAAACACAAACTTATTTTTAAATTAAAAAAATAAAGAGCCGTGGTAGCTCAGATGGATAACGCTCTCCGGCTTCTCGTAGTAAATTTTGGATACTGGGCACACAGTTTACGATTTCGAGATATTTACTTTCAATTTACTAGGCACCTGCACAACATTCTAATCTTAGTTTTATTTCGTTAATTGATTTTTAAAGTTCAGTTATTCTTTGTCTTATGCTGGTTATATCAATTTTCCCTTATATCTACTTTTTGTAAGCCGTCAGTCCGGCGATCTTGGAGACTGACACTTGTTTTTTATAATCTTTATAAAACGATTAAAGGCTGTTGTTATGTTCATTTTGTTATTTTAAATTATCTGAAATAATAGACAGAGTGGCAGCAATCTGCAATTCATGTTTCACCAAAAATTGTGGTCCCGATGTATTAGATATAACAAGGAAGTGTCCAAACCGTCGTAAGGAAAATGAGGAAACTTTCATGTAATACAAAAAAAAATAAGACAAAGCACCAAAATTTTTAACGAGTTAGTTTTTATGCCAAATCTTCGTAGCTTTTTGATCGTTTAATCAGACAAAGGTTTGTACACTATAAATATTCTCTTTATTTAGGTATTTGAAATAATAGTCATACTGTTCGCTACCGAAGAGGCCCTATTACGCCTGGGACTACTTGGTTGAAACACGACGTGATTAAATAGCTTCAAAATTAATTCTAGGCGCTAATTGGAACAAGAATTATTGTACGATATAACGATTACTCAAAATAGAATGTACTTTATATAATCTTATATATAAAAATTAACTGCTGTCTGAAACGACTTGAACGATTTTGATTGATTTTGATTTAGTTATTTGGGGTTCCTGGATGGTTTAAAACTCAATTGGACCCGGTAGGTAACGCTGTTGTCGAGATCCAGAAATCATCCGTGCAAAGCCGGGGCGGATCGCTAGTTGTATATACAGGTTGTTTGGAAGGTCGATGCAAAGCCGTAAAGCGGAGCTAGTATAAATAATAATAAAGAAATAAAATGGTTTATTTCTTTAAAATTACATACATATACAATATAGTAGATGGGTCCTCCTAGTAAGTTTAAAAGAAAACCTGTGTCGGGAGTCCCCGCTCTTCATAAATAGGAAAGCATTTCATTATATTATTATAAATTACACGATTTGCATTGTTCTAAATTAACAGTGATTTAAATAAGGTTATTAATGTATTACTTGAACGTATTTAAATGAAAACGCAAATGGCGCGCGCGCGCGTGTGTGTGTGTGTGGTCGGAAACGGCGCCGGGTCTGGGCGTCTCCCGTTGAATGACGCCCATTAGGGCGTCATTCAACGGATGAAATATAAATGGTATAAAATATAAATGATGATGGAACATAAGTAGATGATGGAATTTGATAGAACGGGCAAAGGGCCGCTGCCTGGGGGTCGCCGGGGCGCGTCTGGAGCTGGCGCTGGACGTGACAGAATGCGAACCGCCAGCCGAGCGCGAGGTGCAGCTCCACTACCTAGTAGCCCCTCGCATCGTAAGCGTATAGGGACACTGCCTGGGGGTTGCCGGGGCGCGTCTGGAGCTGGCGCTGGACGCGGCAGCATGCCGGCTGCCAGCCGAGCGCGAGGAGCTGCAAGATCACCTAGCAACCCCCCGCATCCATCATCCCCACCAGACGGCTTGATGTCGGCAGGAACCTCTCGGACTTGGCAAGCGGCATCCGCAGCTGGTGGAGTGCGCCGCATGCGTTGGACAAGGGATATGAACATAAACGCATTGCGGGCGTACTATAGGGTGAAAGGGGAAGAAACTGGCAGGCCGAGTTCGGTACATCATGCGCTCGAAAATATTTGATGATGCCGAGCTCGAACGACTACGACGTGAGGCCATTTCCTCATCTAATGAATTGGCTACGGCTGAGGATGCGGCTCCTCAGGCGACAGACCAGCATCCACGCGTGGAAGCCGCCATGGATCTTCCAGTTGGGTTTGATTCGGACGATGATGAAATGGTCTCCCACGAACTAGAGCAAATGAGGAGTATATTGGTAGAGGCGATTTTGGAAACGCGCAGCATGCCTCTCGAAAATCGACCGCGACTTCCCCGCATACCCCTTAGCAAGCGAAATCGGGCTGTCGTGAGGGCTCTTAACCCAATGCTGGTAACCTATTTGGAAGCCAGCCGGGACCTTTGCGAGACGGACTCAGTTCTTTTTGGCGCCGCAGTGGCAGCTTGCCGTATAATTGGCGCCAAAATTCCCATGGCTGGACGCGCTACTAAACAAAGTAGCGCCATCCCAGCCTGGAGAAAAAGAATTGAGAACCGTATCGCAAAGGCAAGGGCCCTTATCGGCAGACTGACAAGCTTCAGGTCGGGTAATAATAGACCGAGGGTTGTGCGCACCGTTAAAATGGCGCTGGGAAGTCAGTTTGTCCCAGCAGGATATCACGCAGAAACTAACGGAGCGCATAGAGAACCTGAAGCAAAAGATCGCTGCTTGGGGGAAGCGGATTCGACGATTTACCGAGAGGTCAAGGCGGTTCAACCAGAATCGTCTCTTCCAGAGTGATCAGAAGAGGCTCTATAAATTATTGGAGCGACCAGAGGTATGTGGAGCGGGCCCAGGACCGGATCAGGCTAACATTGTCGCATTTTGGCGTGGCCTGTGGTCAGAGCCCGTAAACCGCAGCGAGGGCCCTTGGATAGAAGTCGTGGCGAGCCAGAGTGCGAGTGTTGCGCCTATGGACCCCGTCACCATAACGCCGGAAGACGTGGCTGAGGCGGTCCGTAGGGCTCCTCGAACTGGAAAACTCCGGGGCTCGACGGGCTGCATCATTACTGGCTGAAGGGGTTCGTAGTGTGTCACGCTGTGCTTGCCCGACAGTTTCAAGAGGCTCTCGGTCAGAAGTCGCTCCCGAACCTCTTCACTACTGGGACCACTCATTTGGTTCCTAAAGATCAGGATAGCACAGACCCGAGCAAATACCGCCCCATTCCGTGTCTACCCACCATATATAAGACACTGACATCCATTTTGAGCGCGAGAATCACTCGTCACCTGGAGGTAAATCAGGTGATGTTGCGCGCTCATAATGGATGTCGGGACGGTGGTCCTGGAACCAAGGAACCACTCCTCATTGATGCGGTCATTGGCAAAGTGGTGAAACGCAACCGTCGGAACTTCTCCGCCGCCTGGATAGACTACAGAAAGGCGATCGACTCGGTGCCCCATACATGGCTAAAGAGAGTCATCGAGCTGTACAATATAGACTGTACAGTGAGAGACTTCCTCGAGCAGTGTATGGGGCAGTGGAGTACGATTCTTTGTCATCTGGGCGAGCGGATGATGGCTGCGGAGAACCACATAAGGATAAGAAGGGGTATCTTCCAGGGCGATTGTCTGAGTCCAATCTGGTTCTGCCTCTCTCTGAACCCTCTCAGTACCTTACTGGAGGAATCCGGGAGGGGATTTCAGCTACGGAAAGGAGGGACAAAAGTGGCCCATCTTTTCTATATGGATGACCTCAAGTTATTCGCCTCCAGTCGCTCCCATCTTATGGAATTGCTAAACATCACTTGTGTATTTTCCGTGTATTAGCCGTGTAGTGGCAGTAAAGAATATCCACTACCCCATATCTTCCCGTGGGTCTTGTTCTTTAAGAAAGGCGATAACGCTCTCTTGAAGAACTACAGACCGATTTCCCTTCTGAGCCGCGTCTACGTGCTGTTTTTGAGAGTCATTACGAATCGTCTCGCACGCAGATTCGACGACTTCCAGCCTCTCGAACAAGCCGGTTTCCGAAAAGGCTTCAGTACCATAGACCACATACATACCTTGCGGCAGATTGTACAGAAGACTGAAGAGTGCAATCTGCCACTTTGCCTGGCGTATGTGGACTATGAGAAAGCCTTTGATTCCGTCGAAATTTGGGCGGTGCTACAGTCCCTTCAGCGGTGCCAAGTTGACTGTCGGTATATCGAAGTGCTAAAGTGTTTGTACAGTAGGGCTACGATGGCTATCCGAGTACAGAACCAGAGCTCGAAATCTATCCAACTGCAGAGAGGTGTAAGACAGGGTGATGTTATATCCCCGAAACTCTTCACCGCTGCATTGGAAGACGTTTTCAAGCTACTGGACTGGAAAGGATACGGTATTAACATCAATGGCGAGTACATCACTCACCTTCGATTTGCCGACGATATAGTCCTTATGGCAGAATCGCTGGAGGGCTTAAGCACTATGCTCAATGACCTCAATAGTGCCTCCCAACGGATAGGTCTTAAGATGAACATGGACAACACAAAGATTATGTTTAATGTCCATGTCACATCTATGCCGGTATTTGTTGGGAGCACTATGCTCAAAGTTGTTGACGAGTACGTTTACCTGGGACAAATAGTCCGACTAGGTAAGTCCAACTTCGACCGAGAGGTCAATCGACGGATTCAACTCGGCTGGGCAGCGTTCGGGAAATTACGACATATCTTTTCGTCAGGTATACCTCAATCTCTAAAAACTAGATTGTACAACCAGTGCGTGTTGCCAGTGATGACTTACGGATCTGAGACGTGGTCCTTCACTGCTGGCCGTATGAGGACGCTCAAGGTCGCTCAGCGAGCTATGGAGAGTGCTATGCTCGGAGTTTCTCTGCGTGATAGACTCAGAAATGAGGATATCCGCAGTAAAACCAGAGTGACCGACATAGCCCAACGGATTAGTAAGCTGAAGTGGCAATGGGCCGGCCATATAGCTCGAAGAACCGATAACCGATGGGGAAGAAAGGTTCTCGAGTGGCAGCCTCGTACCGGTAGGCGTAGTGTAGAGCGACCCCCACTAAATGGAGTGACGACCTGGTAAGATATGCAGGAAGTCGATGGATGCAGGTGGCTCAGGACCGTGCTTTGTGGCATTACTTGGGGGTGGCGTATGTTCAGCGGTGGACTTGTGAAGGGCTGTAATGATGATGAATGATGACTTGTGTATTTAGCAATTCCATTGGAATAGAGCTGAGGACGGATAAGTGTGCGGTCCTCCATGTTGAAAGGGGAAGGGTTGCTAACTCTGAGGGCATAGATTTATCTATTTCCGTCAACTTAAGGACCCTTTCCGAGGCTGAAACATACCGATACCGGGGTGATGTCACAGGACATCGGTATCGATGAGGCTGATATGAAACAGTCAGTTTGCGACGTGTTTTATGCACGCTTGACCAAAGTGCTTAACAGCCTTTGTCTGGTGTGAATAAGACACTCGCATATTACGGTTGAGTCATGCCTGTCCTCATGTATAGCTTTGGCATACTCAGGTGGACTCAGACTGAACTTAACGCCCTGGATAGAAAAGTCTGCACTACCATGACGTCTCATAAGATGCATCATCCGAGATCGTCAGTAATGAGGCTGTACTTGCGTGGGCGTGGCTTTCTGAGCGCGTTCACCATGCATAATCGCGAAGTGTGCAGCCTCCGTCATTACTTCCTGGTGAGATCGGATGATCCATTCTATAATGAAGTCATTTCTAGTTATAAAGGGCTTACCCCTCTATCCTTAGCCAACGAGCAATGGCAGGACCCAGCAGTAACAGAAACAGAAACAGAAACTTTTTTATTCATAACATACATATACATAAACCCTCACGACTGTCACCCAGAGGGGTAGGCAGATACTACAGACTTCCATTTGGCACGATCCTGACACACCTCTCTTGCCTCCTTCACATCCATACACCTACGCATACATGCTCGTCGGTTAAGGGTACTCCTAATTTGGCCCGTTTTCAATAAATCGCCAATTTGTTCGATAAATTTTCGCCTAGGACGTCCCTTTCCGACTCTGCCATTCAATTCTGCACCATAAATTTTCTTTGTCACTCTTTCCTCATTCATTCTTTCCACATGACCAAACCACCGAAGCATTCCTTTCTTAATCCTGGTCACAACATCATCTTGCAAACCACACTCTTCTCTTATTACACAATTTCTTACCCTGTCATTCAGATTCAGCCCTAACATACTCCTTAACGACCGCATTTCTACTGCGTTTATTCTACTCTCGTGCTTCTTCTGCCACACCCAACTTTCACTACCATATGTTAAAGTAGGGACCAACACAGCATTGTGAACTGCCATACGTGCCTTTTTCGACACATTTTGATTCTTCATAATAGAGTGTAGTGCCCCATTTACTCTATTTCCCGCATTTACTCGTCGTTCTATATCCTTATCATATCTCCCATCCCTGCTAATTACACAGACCAAATATACAAACTCATCTACTTGCTCGATCAACTCCCCTTCTATTCTTATTTCATAAATCGTTTTACTTTCTTCTCTTTCAAAAACCATAACCTTCGTCTTACTTGCGTTCACTTTCATACCCCTTTCTTTTAATGATCTGTTCATTAATGTAACCATCATTTGCAACTCGGCCGCCGACGACGCAAGAATAACTTGATCATCGGCGTACAAAAGGCATTTGACGGTTAAATCACCCATTCTTAATCCGCATTCTTCAACTTTAAAATTTTGCAAACAACTGTCCATAAATAGGTTGAACAGCCACGAGGAAGCCACACAGCCCTGTCTGACACCTTTATGGATGTCAAACCAGTCCGAGTAGACCCCGTTGATCCTAACACAAGCACTAGAGTCCCTAGAAAGAGACTCCAATACCTGTATCAAGCCAGCGCTCAACCCAAATGAGTTCAGTGTTTGCCATAGCAATTCTCTATCCACTCTGTCATAGGCCTTTTCCAAGTCCATGAACGCACAAAAAACCTTTTGGTTTTTGGCCAGAAACTTCTCCGCGATCATGCGTATGGAAAAGACTTGATAGCCATTCTCGTCTCTTATAGCATTCATCATAGGCTGTTTTGAATGTCCCCTGGCAGTTCTTACAAGTTTCCAGAACATTTTAATATTTGCCTGGAAGTTATCCGATCATTCTTATCCGTTCTTTCTTGCTTTTTTCTTCCAACTACTTCTTTTACTCTCTTATTAAGATGTCTAAAGACTGCCTTTTTTCTTTCAATATCACCACTCGTACCACTAGAATTAGCAGCCTTTGTTGCTAGTAAATCTAGCCATGCTCTCTTCTTTGCTTCAACTTCCGTACGTATCTCATCATCCCACCATAACGTATTATTTTTCCTTTCATTCTTTCTCTTACTAACACCACATACTTCGGTAGCTGCATCCACTAAACCTTTCTTTACATTTTGCCATATATTCTCCAAGTCTAACTCCTTCATACATAATTCATCCAAACCCCTTATATTTTCTTTCAGTCTATATTTGAACTTGTTTTTATCACTTTCATCTTGTAACCTTTCTGTTCTAATACGCTGTAACGCAGTGGTAGACACAGACGATCGATGGCGCCAACGCCTGAATAGACCATTAATTCGGCATAAAATTAAATAATGATCAGTTCCTACGTTAGAACCCCGGTAAACTCTCGTATCTACCACTGCGCCCCTCAATCTTTCATCCACAATTATGAAATCTATCATGCTTCTATCGTCACCTCTTTCCCAAGTATACATGTGAATCCTCTTGTGGCGAAAGCAAG